GCATCAGAATCACAGGGTGAGCTAAGGCGCTGGCGGGGTCAGAGTGCTTGTTCACTCACCGAAGGGAAAGCAGTGCCTCGGAAACGGTTGTTGGGCTACACTGAGGTGTAGGCGTAGCTTTTCAAGGTGACCGAGAGTTTTGTGTCTGTATCTGTTTGGGGCAATAAAATGGATGTGCCATTTTAAAACTAGGATTATTTCTTTTCCAAATGGCTTTTTTTTAATGAGAATACTGATAGCATTATACAAAGAATACACAGTAATATGAAATTGCAGTGACTGTAATTACTTCTCAGTGATATAACCTCTTTTTTAATTTTAAAAGATTTAAAAAGATGAGGTGTTTAATTTACCAATTATGGAATTCTTTTCCCAGCAGAAGCTGGCAGCCCCAGTTCTCCACCCCCACCCCCCACGACACCCCAGGTTTTTATGTGCTCGACACTATGTTAGGTGCCGGGGATGTTAATGTACAAAAGGCATTAGGTTTCTTCACTAAGTCCCCGTGAGCTTCCAAAATATGAAATACTTTTTGCACGAGGCATTAAAAATTTTGTTTAGAATTGTTACATCTTATTTTATAGACCAATTGTTTTAAAGTGTGCATGTCTAATAGATTACAGAAGTAATCTATTCTTGAAAAAGAAACATAGTCTAGCATTGTAGACTGAAGGTGGACTTGGACACCGAATTCTTGGGTTCAGATCCCTGCTCTGCCATTTCTGAGCCTGCTGTATCAATCATGAGATGCTGCTTAATCACTTTGTGTCTCAGTAACCTTATGTATCAAAGGTGGGGCAATGAAAATGCATACAGCAGGGGATTACTGTGAGTGTCAAACAAGCTCACTCATGGAAAAGATATGAAGTGTGAGACAGTGCCTGGCATAATCTAAAAGCTCACATAGCATAATTTTAAAACTTTTTTTTATCTACATACAGTAAAAAAATCACTTGTACATTCTACGAGTTACGACAAAAGCATAGTCTCATAACTTCATTGCGATCGGGAAAAAGAACTGTTTCCTCACCCCCAACACTTCCCTGGTGCCACCCCTTCACAGTCACACCTCTCCTCACCCCCAGCCTTTGGCAGCCGCTGATCCGTTCCCCCCTCTTAGAGTTTTGCCTTTCCCAGAAAGTCATCTGATGAAATCAGTAAAAAAGAAGTCATGCCGTTTGAGTCTGACCTCCTTCACTCAGCCTGATGGATGCATGTGAGATTCACTCAAGCTGTTGTCTGTATCAGCAGTTTGTCTTTATTGTTAAATAGTATTCCATTCCATAGATTTACTACAATTTGTTAATCCATTCATCCCTGACCAACATTTGGGTTCTTTGCATTTTTGGCAATTGTGAATAATACAGCTATAAACAATTATGTGCAGGTTTTTGGTTCAACATAAGTTTTCATTTGTCCTGGATATTCAGCAGTAGCAATTTGGGGTAAATGTACAGTTGACATTTTAAGAAACTGCCTAAACTTTTCCAGAGTGGCCATACCGTTTTGCATTTCTCCCAGCAATATATATGTGAGTTCTGACGGCTCTGTATCCTAGTCAGCACTTGATATTGCCCGTTTTTAAGAAAATTTTAGCTACCCTAAATAAGTGCGTAGCATAATTCTTAACCATGTTTGTCTGTCAGAGCCTTGAGACTTGGGAGAAATTGCAGACTAGGGCTAGGTTAGATGCAGAACCAGGGAGGTGTTCATACGGAGGAGGTGGAGGGACCATTAGATTTTTGAGAGGCTGGTGTGTCTGTCAGTCACTCTTGTATCCCCAAATGACTAGCACAGTAGTTGGTACACGGTGGGTATGTTTAGTGTATGTTTATTGAATCAGGAGCAAATGTTTGAGAGGTTAGGGAAGAAACAGGAATAGGATGGAAAATAATTTTAGATTAGACTTCATGTGAGTAATCCCAGTATACTCATGTGACACAGGCCTTTAAGTCCGTGTTTAAATATATGTTTCAAGTTGACTCCGTTCTCTCACTCCCAGCCCCTTGGCAGGAAAAAGCACAAGGCAGAAAAAAAGACTTGATGCTCCTAACTTGTTATATGGATTTAGGAAAGTCATCTCCTGGTCCTCAGCTTCATTATTGTAAAAATGAAAAGATTTTATTAGATTATATCTCAGCTCCTTTTACACACACACACACACACACACACACACACGTAAATGGGGGGGCTCCACCCACAGAGCCAGCCCCAGCCACCATGGATGAGAATATGTCTACCAAGACATGATCTGCTTAGGGAGAAAAGGTGCCGAACTCTCAGAGGAGAAGGACCAGGATCCTGTTCCTCAATGGGCTTTGATTGGGTTCAGTTTGCACAGGAATACAGATAAAGCTCATCAATCATTGTCAGGCAGTAAGGATCAAAGAATAGATAATATACAAAGAACTCTGAGGACTTATTCTGAGTCAGGGTCACATAGCTAAAGGGCTGTAAAACTTCGGGGAACAAACTCATTTCATGCTTGATCAGAAAATTGAGGACATTAGCAAAACAGGTTTCACAGGATTTTATGCATTCTTTCTTAGGCCTGATTGCCCCCCCGGGGAACCCGCTCATTCCAGCACAGGGCTGCACTCACCTCTGCCATTGTTTCAGGCTTAAGTCAGGCAGGGGAAGTAAGGCAGCTATGAGATTAGGAGACTTCTTTCAGACAGAATGAGGACTCAAGCTATGTCAAAGCTGAGGGATAGGGGTGCATCACCCCCTTTTTTATAGACCCCCAAGTCCTTCCTTGAGGCCTTCTTCGTGGCTGTGCCTGTCTTAGGTTGTCTCTCCTTTAAGGAATCTTACCCATCATTTGCTAACCAGTCATCTGCCTAGGGCCAAGCAGGAATGGGGGCAGAGGTGGTGCCCCTGCCAGGGAGATAAGCTTTGTCTCCTTAGCGACTTATGGTCCCAAGGTCTTGCATTCAGCCTTAGCTATGGAGGGTTAAAGCTTCTGAAACCAGGAAAGGGCGGTTCCCAACATATATATATATATTTTTTTGTAATGGCATCAAATACAAAATTGTTCAGTAGGTGAGGAAGAAGCATGTCAGAGCCTTTGATGGGGCCTGGTGGGGAGAGTTATCTATGAATACACTGTGAAATGCATCTTACATCTCACAGGGAGTTCAGGGATGTCTAAGTATAGAACCAGCTAATGAGCAATGGGCAGAAACAAGCAAAGATAGAAAAAGGTAGTTATGGGTTTTCAAATATATAGTGGCAGCAGTGCTGGAATTTTTTTTTTTGAGGGTATAAAAGGAATTAGGGGTTGAGAGTGCTGAATTTAGAAGATTTTTTTCCCTATTAAGAAAAGCTTTAAGTTAATCTAAAGACTGGAGAGAAGCAGCCTATAACATCTTTCAATGCAAAGCGGAGGGCCTGAGCCTCAGAGAAAGCACTGCCGAGGGAGTGCAGGGGCACCGACAGTTCTGGGCCTTGTGTGAACACATTGTTTGGCCACTGCCTTCCAGTGGCCTGTGTCTCTGCCCTCTCTCTCTCCCCCCGCACATCTCAGCTCTGAGATAGAAAAGGAGTTCTCGTGAGATGTTTATTCTGCTTGTACTTTGGCCCGTTTTGTATACATGTATTGGTAGAGATTTGATAATATACTTAGTACCCAGATAAGCTTGATTATTCTGTGTTAAGGGATTTGGTCTATTTTGTTGTTTGTCTGACATTATTTAAAGCACCATGGCATTTGAAATTGTTATTTGTTTCCTGCTGTGATTCTTTTTAAATATTCAGAGGTCTTGATTGCTAGAATACCTCTTTTAATACATAAATTTTCAGGCTATTTTTGTTTTCTTTCTTTTTCCTTGTGATGAGAATTCCTAGGATTTATTCTCTTAATCATTATTATTTTCATAGTTTAATATTTCCGATAGTTTTATTATTCTGAGGCAAACATATTTTTGCCCTAATATAGTTCAGGTTGTAAAATCAAATGTCTGATTACTTATTTTAGACTGTTTCCAATAGTTCATTTTAAAACACCAATATTCTGTTCTTTTGGTTATTCGGCTACACAAAAGCACAGCTGTCCCTCAGTATCCATAGGTGTTCGTTCCCACTAATCTGAGGGTGCTCAAGCCCCTTAGATAAAATGACATAGTATTTACATGTGATCTACACATATCCTCTCATTACTTTAAGTCATCTCCAGATTATAATGCCTAATACGGTGTAAATGCTATGTGAATAGTTATTAACACTGAATTGTTAAGGGAATAATGACAAGAAGAAGAAGTCTGTGCCTGTTTGATACAGACACAACCATCACGGGCCTAACTAACTACATTGTGTACTTCAGCAACAAAGTAACATTTTTCCCCCCAGATATTTTCTGTCTACAGTTACAGTACTGCAGGTATGGATGACTGCCTATAACCCTTTGGCAAATAGTTTAGGGAAGAGAGTGAGGAGTCCGACTTCTGTTTAATCTTTAGCTCATGAAGAGCCAGTCTAAGACTAATTGACCAAAGATATACTTTCAGATTCTAATGTAAATAATTAACATTTCTAGATCAAAAAACTTTTTAGCGCGCTGTAAAGTTGTCATCACTTTTAGGCATAGTCACCTTTAGGAAGCTGTTCTGCAGTTTTTAGTCCATGAAGTCTGTTTGTTACAGTGGGATATAAAAAAAGTTTTGGACTATTTTAAGATTTTGTGTTGGATAATATCCTGGAAAGGAAAATATACAGGTTTATGTTAACACTAATAAACAGAAAACACAGGCTTCATAAACTGGACCAGCTTTATTTTGGGGGGCCATTTACTCTTTCAGAAATGTGAATTTCGAACGCACTCACCACTTGTTAGACCAGTCGGTCATGTAGGAGGGTCACCTCTGCGGTGTTCACGTTCCCACAGCGTTTGTCAGAGCCTGTGCTGTGGCCCTGTAATTAAAGATTGTGTAGGCGTCGTTCTGAAATTGAATTTGGGCAGTTATGTGTCGTAACAAAATGTACCTTCTTTTTATCTCTTTCAGAATCATGGTGTCATGGAAAGGGATTTACTTCATACTTACTCTGTTTTGGGGAAGCTTTTTTGGAAGCATCTTCATGATCGGTCCCTTTTTACCTCTGATGGTTGTGAACCCATCCTGGTATCGCTGGATCAACAACCGCCTCGTGGCAACCTGGCTCACGCTTCCCATGGTAAGCTACACGCCAGAGCGGGAGAGTGGCCTGACCTATTGAGTTTCACTTTGTGAGAATCGGATTCAGTCCAATGTTAGACCTCAGAAGTCTTCCCTGTTGTACAAGAGGTGCATTAGAATTTAAAGGGGGGGAGGAGCTAGCAGGAAATAAAAATAATTTATGTCCTTTGAAGTAAAACATGTAAGAGACATTTAAAAATAGTTTCTTTATATTGTCATTTAAATTTTTTCTTTTTAAAAATTTTGCATTGAGGTGTGCTTTATGTCTAGCAAAATAGCAAATCTGAAGATACATATTGAAGGGTTTTTTTGCATCATTAATTTTATTTTGCATTTCCCTTTATTTTACAAAACAACGACAGAAATTAAGATTGAAGTAACAAACTTATAAAAATTTGTGGTATTGATGTGATTGATTTAATTCTTCCCAGGAAGCACAGAATAAGAAATAAAGTGGTTTCCTGTCTGCAGGCTAGGTTAACAACATCTGTAAGTAAAAGCACACACACAGTGCGTGGTAGGTTTCTGGAGCTGCCAGGCTCTCCCTGCCGGGCCAGCGCATACAAACTGCCGGCAGCACACTCCCCGCCATCCCGGCCGGGGAGGTCCAGGAGGGTCCCGCACCAGACTCCTCTGTGTCTGGGGCTGCAGGGGCTTCCATCCTTCTCTCGCTGCTGATCTGCAGGGCCTCCTCAAAAAACAGAGGCCTGTGCATGCAGCTGCCTTTACCTCGAACGAGCTGTATTTCCTGAGTGTGACCTTCCTTCCTTTTCCTGAGCAACACCCAGAGCTTAGTGTTTACTGGTTTATCGACTCGTTATGGTGGAGGCTATACGTGAAGACCACTAGGGTGGCATCCTCCTCACCCAGTTGCCCCAGGATCCTCTTTACCCTGTTCTTTTGAGGTGGGTGGTCTGTTTTCCCTCGGCGGACTGCCACCACGGTGTCGTCAGTGGAGAGGAGAGTGTGGCGCCATGATATGGCCCCTCGGGGAGACCGAGGGGGGGATATTTCCAGAGACAGGGATGGGTGGACCTGTCTTGATGGAGTAGATGTTTCTTAAGTATCCTGTAAATGGAATTTTAATAAATCCTTTACAGTTTACCCTGTTTCATGTTTAAAAAGGAATCCTGTGAATAATTTTAGAAATTACATTTGTTCCCCTTTACAAGATTAATTTGTTTGTAAATTATTATTCACAGAGATGTTCATGAAATGTGATACTGTTAAAGTAAAAGCAGCCCCCCCCGCCTCTCTCTGTCCACCGTTCCTCTCCCCTCTCTTCTGCGTGTGCCCTCAAGGCTGCCTGTTCTACCAGCACAAGGAAAGGGACAGCGAACTGGTGTGGCTGCATATTTAATTCAGATACAAGGGGAAGAATTAGAAGATTTTCCTAAAAAGGAAAAAATCAAAGTAAAAACCCAGGGTAATGATGATCCTGGCTGTTGACACTGTGTGGCAAATACTGTGCTTTAGGAAAGGTGGCTTCATTCCAGGTGTGACCATTACCCTCATTTTACAGAAGAGGAAACAGAAGCTTTGAGAACTTAGTTAATTTGCCCAAGGTCACACACGGAAGAGAATTATTTAAACACAGCCGAGATTAAACCCAAGTTGTCTGCTGCCTTTAGAGCCTCAGGTGATAGGATTGGTCAGAGTCTCAGGGAGCCTTAACAACTCCCCAGGGGTAAGAAGTTCACTGGTACCTCCTGATTGTTTCAAAAGGAGGTTTGCAGTTCTTTTGAGCCAGGGGTGCCTAGCGAGAAAAATGATCTGAGAGACCGATACTAGTAATAAAATCAGTCTCAGTAATGTGCGACTCCATCACAGAAGAAGAGGAAAGTTGGCAAGAAAGCCTTCCCTTTTGGTAGAGAAGCCAAAGACACAGATTGCTGAAATACCTGGAACAAGGTATTGTAAATATTTGTTGAATGAGTAGGCAAACATAAAGAAGTTTCAAGGTCAAACTGCCCAAACTTTGGTGTCAGAATCAGGCTGGCTTCGTAAAATGAGTTGTGCAGTGTTCTCTCCTCTGTTTTTGAAAGAAAATTACATCTCTGCACAGTGGTACCTCAGTACTTGTTCATTTGTTCTGGAACTCATGACGAGTGCCGAAACCGACAAGTACCGGAGGTTTTTTTCAGGTAGCCAGTGATGAAGCATTTTCCCCCCCGAGGGGCGGTGAGTCCAGCGAGTGCTGAAACCTTTCTTTCTCATCCAGATGCGACCAGGACAGGGTTTGACAAGTGCTGAATCTGACGCGTCCTGAGGTGTGACTGTCATTTTTTTAGTCATGGCTTAGGGATTACCTAATGCAACCTTAGAATTAATATTTCCTGTGTCATGTAAGATGTAAGAGCCATGTGGATGTGAAGTGCATTTATTCTTACGTCCTCTGTGCTGCTTTATCTGACCGCATCTGTGCGTCACATATTCGCCTCCAAACTGCAGCGTTAGAACTTTGTTTTGCTTTCAATTGTCATGTCCTTTAAAGAAACCAGAAGGAAAAAGATATAGTCTCTTACATTTATTTAACCGTTTTCCATTCTAGTGTTTCTTATTCTTCCTGCATATTAGTTTCCATCTAGTGTCGTTTCTCTTCAACCTGAAGAACTCCCTTTCGCTTTTTTTAAAAAAGATTTTATTTATTTACTTTTAGAGAGAGGGGAAGGGAGGGAGGAAGATAAACATCGATGTGTGGTGTCTTCTCACGTGCCCCCTACCGAGAACCTGGTGCACAACCCAGGCATGTGTCCTGGCTGGGAATTGAACTGGTAACCCTTTGGTTCACAGGTCCACGCTCAATCCACTGAGCTACGTCACCGGCTTTAGCTTTTCTTATAGTGAGGGCTCCTGTAGGTGAACTGTTTTCATTTCATTGTTTTTCCTTATTTTGCCTTCATTTTTGAAGGCTAGTGTTGCTGGCTATACCATTGTTTTTCTCTTCATACTTTAAAGTTCTGCCGTCTTATGGTTCCCTTGATATTTTATGAACGATTAGCCATCATACATATTGTTGCTTCTCTTTATGAAATGTGTCATTTGTCTCTGACCGCTTTCAAGATTTCCTTGATTTTAGCAATTTCATCATGATACATAGGGTTTTCTTTATTTTTAATTTGTTGTGTTCATTTGGCTCCTTGGATCTGCAGCTTAGTTTGTTTCCTCCAAGTTGGGTCATTAATTCTTCATGTATTTTTTTTTAATTCTTTCTCTTCTCTCTTTTTGGGACTACAGTTATTTGTATGTTAGATTTCTTATATTGGAATAGTGTCACACAGGATACCAAGTTCTCTGACTCTTTCTCCTATTTTCTTCATAGTGCATTTCTGTTTAAAATACTGTACTTTTAAATTCTAGAATTTGTTGTTCCGTGTTGATTTCATGACTTTCTTGAGGTTCTTCCTCGATTTATTCGTTACGACCATATGTGCCATAAGTCAGCCGGGCGGAGAGTCTGGTACCACTTACTCTGCCGGGGCTGGAAGCAGTCCTTGCTTTTTTCCCCCTTTCCTTTCCTGTAGGAAAAACTTTGCAGTGAATATTTGTACTATCCCTATGCTCTTGGTATGGATCTTTCTTATTCTTTTAGGTGAAATTTCGTTTTATTTTTTTAATGGGAGGATGTTTTGTTGTAACTTTTGTTTATTGCAAAAGCAGTCAGCAGGATCCCAAGTCCCCCAGCAACTGTTAAGTGTCCGCCATGTGCCGGACGTTTTGCTGGGATGCAGTGGCGAACAGGACAGACAGGACCTCTGTAGTAGTCCTTCCACCTAAAACGTCTTTTCAAATTTAGATTTACTCAGCTCGACCACCTTCTTTTCTGGCTTATATTCGGCTGAAAGACTACGACTTCCTTTGTTAGAGGACAGAAGTTGACTCTCTAGGCCATGGATTCTTAGAGTTGGATTTTTAAATCACCTTTAGAATGACAAAGTCCATTGTTTCATAGCAGATACATACCATTTAATATAAAATATTTACCTTGTATTGTATAGCACTGTCCCTCACTTATTTACAGAGTATTTCTCTATAAAATGTTTATATTAAGTAAAACAAGCACACTTTCAGTTCACATAAAATTAACTGTCATGAGTAGTTTTTCTAAAAAGTCACCTACAAGCTGTCTACATGTTCAGTTATCCCCCACTTATAGTCATTAATAAAACCATAGACATTTCCTTTTGAAAATGTTTAACTCTTTTAAGTCATTTATGTAACATTTTTTTAGGTTTCATCATCGGTAAAATAAGGAATTCAGAGTAGGTAATCTCTGAGATCCAATGCAGATTCCACATTATATATAGGTTTCTAAAACACACATTTGGAGGTAAATGATTTTTTGGTAACAGTCTTATTTTGCTCTTATACTTCATTTTCTTTAATGTCATCAGTTTTCTCTAGTATATAATCTTTTGGTTTTGAATCTCATGTTTGTGGCTGAACCTCTCTACCAAAACCTGAAGAGATTTGAGATCTTGTACTTGCTACATGGTAGAACTCATTGCAGTTATAATGATTTACAGTGTCCAGTCAGATTTCCTTGGAGAGCCAATATAAGCAGAGTGCTTATTGGCATGTTTGGTTTCGCTATTGGCCTTACTGCTTTCTAGCTATTTAAACTTGGCTAAGCTACTTAGCTCTCTAAACTTCTCTTTCTTCACTGTAAAAAAGGGTACTGATACTATCTACACACCTCAGAGAGTGATTTTGACAACTAAATGGGGTGCTAATAAAGCCTTTGTAAACTGTGCAGCAAATGTTTGCTCCTGTCTTCATTTTAAGGGGTAGGCTCAACTGTACTATCAGAGAAAAAATTTAAAATACAGTGGCTTGAGTAAGATAGAACTTTATTTATCCTCAGGTCCAGGTTGGCAGAGTTGCTCTGCTCCCTGATGTCGGGGAGCTAAGATTCCTGAGATTCCTTCTACCCAGCCTGGCATAGTTATCCTACTGTGTGTGGTCAGGGCCGGCCATGTCTCCACTCTGCAGTCAGTGGGGAGGGGAGAAGTCCAGGGCACGTTTCTTTTAGACCAGTGCCTTACAAGGCACGCATGTCTCTCTTGTTCACCCATTGGTGAGAACAGCTAAAAGTTGTAACAGAATCTGGGAAATATAGTCTCTTCTTTCCTGACCAGTCAGTCATGCACACAATTTACATTGTATTGTTCTGGAAGAAATGCTGGAATTTACTTGACAAATTCTGCCGCAGCTGCTGCTACTGCTGGTACTGTTACTATTACCACAGAATTACACTGTGCATCTGTTTACGCAATACAACTTCGATCACATATGCTGGGATGGGTGAGGGAAAGTGGAGAGAGAATATAGGGTCCCTCCCGAACCCCCACTCCATGTGAGGTGAAATGGGAACTGTGAGTGGGCCTGTGCTGAGTATGACTCGTGGTGAAAACAGCAAGCGACCAATCCCTTCACCTGAGTGGCCAGCTGCAGAAATCGAGTCCAACATTCAGAAAAAGCTGGCTGAGCTGGACTCATCAGCAGTGTGCTGGTTTCTTGTGAGGCACCTTCCCATAGATTTTCACGGGTAATTCCACCTGTTCCTCACTTCTGCCTTATCACGTGATATGAGAACATAACACATAGGCAGGATTCAACCACCATCATAGTCTTGTATTGGTTTGTATTTGCAAAACTTCTGTTACCTGGCTGTTTAACTCAGCGCCTTAACAGATGGGGAGTCAGTTAAGAAATTTATCACCATCAAACCAATGGCTGGTTACAGAAAACTGATGTTAGAGATTTGAGATAGTGAACACCTCTGTTCAAAGACACGGAGCAAAACTGTCAGGTTGTCTCTTACGACTGTGTATTTCATACTTTTATAAAGTCCTGAGGAGTTTTTGTTTTGAGGCAGATAGGTCATTTTTTTCTTTAGAAGGAATTTAATCATTATTCCCCTGTAGTAGGTGTGTTTTATTTTAAGCAATCCCAAAGCATTAAAAACCATTTCCACTACAGATAAATTAGGGTAAATGCACTTAGACTGTTTTTCATGGAAATAATCACAAAATGGCCACTTTTGTAAGCTTTTATGCATTAAAATGATTTCATTGGCAAGATTTTTCTTGCTGTAATATTTTCAAAGAACACGTTTTCTGTATTCAATGAGGGTACCACAGTAAAACTTTTAGCATCTTAGAGGAAACTTAGAAGTTATGGAGCCTGACCTACCTGTGTGTGCAAGAACCCTTTCTAGAACAGTGTGTGTATGAACCTTTCGGTCTCTCTTGGAACATTTCTACAATGGGGGTGGGGTGTGCGTGTCTCCGTTTATTTCATTTTCAGAGAGTTCTATTCAACATGGTACTAACAGGGTCCAACCTTGCATGTGTCCAGAGCAGTTTTTGCTTTTCAAAATTGAGGCTGTTTAGCAGTTCAGTGTTAGTTAATTACCTGGGATTATGAAAATGACTTAGAGTTCTGTCCATTCATCAGAAATCACAACTTAGGAGTTTAGAGGTCATTTTCTAACTCCCCACCGAGGATGTGAGTCTCTTCCGCAGCCTGCTGGCCTCATTCCAGTCCCAGAACAAACAGGTGTCCCACAAACACAGGCTAATGGATATCATTTCTGTCTAGCCTGCTTCTCTTCAGAAAGGGGGTGCTTGGCTCTTGATGAGTGACTTGGGACTGCAAGGCCTTAAAAAGCTAAGGTTTTGGGGAGCCAGGCTGCAGCCAAGTCTGGAAAGACAAGCAGATGAGGAACTTACTTGTTTTTACCTCGACTTAAGGCAGATCCGTTGGAATGATGAGTGAGCGCCTCGGGCAGGGTGTAAAAACCCATTCTTTGATCGTGAGGGGTCCTCTCCTTTTACTGTTTTCGTATCTGGTGGAACTCTTGGAGGTAGTAAATAGTGCTTTATAAAAGCTACTCAGAAATTGCCTTTATATTTCTAATTCTAGCAGAAATATTTGTCCAATTAGGTTAAAGTTATGACAGGGTAGCTCTTAGTTCAGCAGAAGAAACAAAGCATTATAAAATTTTATAAGGTTAGTTTCTTAACTGCTGAGAGTAGCTTCTATATTAGGAATGCTACAAATATGAGAAACATGAGAATAGTGTCCATTTTCTAGCTTTGAATATGGATTATTTGAATCCTGGAGTGTTTTGTAGATGTTACAACTTATCTCTGTGTGGTACATTTGCTCCTCCGCCTTGCAGGGGAGCTGTAAATAATGTTGACTAGGTAAGTCTTGTCTGGTATTAAAAATGATTATTGTGAGCTTGAGATCTGGGCTGCCCAAAAGGTTATATATAACTTGCAGGCACACTCTGATAGAGAGCTAGATGGTAAGGGAGAAAATGTCATATGATAGGCTCCTGGAAAAACAGTCTGGGATTTTTTATTTTTGACGTTTTCTTAATGAAAAGCAAATGACTGTTTGGGGGTATCCATAGGAAACGTGTATTAGAAATTGCACATAAAAGGTTAGAGTTGAGGCTTTGGGTGTATATAGGCCACAATGGATATTCAAGTCCCTCTTTCCACCAGTAATGGGAAGGGTATCTGCTTCTCACTTCCCTGCAAATCTGAAAAGTATATTTGTAAAGTAGAGTGGAGTTGATGCAAAGTACTGTATTTTACCGCGTATAGTGTACACTTTTTTGCCCAAATTTTTGAACGAAAAATAAGGATGCATGGATAGTACTAGTTCCGTTTCTATGTAAATATTTTTAATTCTTTTAGTTACACTTATGTGTTAAAATTGTAACTCTAGAAAGCAATAACCATATCTATATGCAAGCTGATACCCTGGAATGTGATCATTGGTTTTGTTTCTATATATAAATAAGTAAAAAATTGAATTAAACAAAACGGTAGATTTTTTTCCTGAACATTTGAGCCTAAAACTCGGGTTAGCACTATATACTGGAACGCATTACACACGGCAAAATACAGTGACCTTGGGTGGTGAAGTCACACATACCCTGTTGGCTAAGACATAAAATGGAGTGACTCATTTCGGTGGTTGATGATCCTTTATGCTTAGAAAGTATAAAAAGAGAGCTGTGTCTCATTGCAGCAGTCTCTGCCACGATTCTCTCCGTCACATAGTCTTCTACGCAGGGACTGACCTTCCCGGAGACTTTGGCGTAGGGGTTATAATTATTTGAATGTTTGTGGACCCCTTTGGAAATCTGATACATACTATAGCCACTTTGCCTAGCAACGTTCTGTGTATAATTTCAAGAAAGGTACGTGTTTATTGACCTCTCGTAGGCCATTCTTCTAGGGTTTAATAAATGCCAGGTTAAATAGCCAGGCCCTAAAGCGACTCTCAGCCAAGGGAAAGTAACTTCAGGGGACCTCCGGGAAATCAATGGCTGCATTAGCCGAAACGACCCCTTTTCACCTGCTAGTGTCTTAACACTCTGACTCGGCACTGCTTTGGACATACAGCATTTCACGTTTCTTTTTTCCTTTAGCTAATATTCATTTTAACCTTTTATTCTTGATCCTATTTATTCTTATGTTGTTGAAGTCCTATTTTTCTTTATATTATATTCTTCAAAAAATAGCTTTTTGTGTGTGAAACAGAGCAAACATACCAAAAAGTTAGTAAAACATAAATGCACACTTTAACATCCAGTTTTAAAGTATAACTACCAGCCAGGTCAGGAAATAGCGCACTGGCAGCCCTCCGGCAGCCGCCTTGCTGTCGGACAGAAGCAGCCACCAGCCTGGCTCGTAAGGCAGTTATTTCCTTGATGTTTATAATTTCACTCCCCACCAAGTTCCCCCTGAACTATCTGAGCTACTGTCGGTATCTGAGTTACAGAGTTTTGTGTGTGGGTGCTTACTGTACGTGTTCTTTCTCGTTTGCTTCGCTTCTGTTTCTTGGTACGATGCTTGTGTGTTACCAATATCGTTGTAGGTAGCCGCATTTCCTTATGTTGTGTTGTGGTCCATTGTGGAACTCTACCGCAGGCTACTCGCTACAGTTTGATCAAGGTTTTCGCGATACTGCCAAGGAAATTGTAATTTACTTTTGTTTTAATCAGCCTTGGACTAGATTTCTCTCTATTAGTAGTGAAGTCAAATATTAACTAGTAAATTTAAAATTATTTGAAGATTTAACGGGGGATTGAAATTAGCAATCAAGTTTTCTTAGTATCTATTATTTTTCTTTCGAGAACTCCAGTCTGTAAGAGACTTTTCTTTTAAATATTTTATTCGTAGTATTAATCAGAAAAGTTCATTTAAGAATTCAGCAAATATTTGAGTATTTTCTGTGCCAGGCACTGCTGTAAGTGCCAAGACTAGTCAAATACATTTTTTAGTCACTACATAGTGTTAAAGTAAACAGGTATGTATTTGTTTTTAAAAAGATCATAGTGTAGAAGGTATGAAATAAAAATTTTGACTTTCTGTTTCCTCAGCCATTTACCCTTAAAAAATCACAGTGGAATTTAGTGTGTCTTTTTCTTTTTAAAATAGTATCATCAAGATTTCAATGAAAGTTAGCACTTTTTAATTGGGAAACTGTCAGGCACTTAAATTAAAACTCAAAATAGAAGTGGTGCCTTCACATTCTCATTCTTCCAGATTAATTTCTTTTTCCTGATTTATCACAGAAGACTTATGGGAAACACTATGCTTCTGACTTAGTTACATATGGGAAATAATAACTTTAATTTCTTATGTATCTATTTTGTTTTGCCCTAGGCATTGCTGGAGACCATATTTGGTGTAAAAGTGACTATAACAGGTGACGCGTTTATTCCTGGAGAAAGAAGTGTCATTATCATGAACCATCGGACGAGAATGGACTGGATGTTCCTGTGGAACTGTCTGGTGAGGTATAGCTACCTCAGGCTGGAGAAAGTGTGTCTCAAAGCCAGTCTCAAAAGTGTCCCTGGATTTGGTAAGTTATTCGCAATTAAGTTGTTCATTCATTTTATATGCGATACACCAACTTAAAAAAGTAATTTACTAAAATGCACTGGGATATAAGAGCCATTACCGTTTTTTCTTTATTGGCCTAAAAACAATCACCAGTTTCATTTTTTACTTAGTGGATCATAACAGATTATTTTATTTGAGTCTCTTTTTTGAAACAACGTTGAAAGAGAGAATAAACTGCTTACTTGTCTTTAATCAATTTTGAGTTTATTCTTGTATGTGGTGTAAGAACATGATCCAGTTTTCCTACCACCATCTGAAGAACCTGTTTTTACCCCTTTGAATATTTTTGCCTTTTTTCATAGATTACTTAATAGTCTAGGTGTATGTTTGTTCCTGGGCTCTGTATCTATTCTGTTGATCTGTGTGTCTGTTTGTATGCCAGTGCCATGCTGTTTTCATCACTGTAGCCTTGTAGTATAGTTTGCAATCAGGTAGCATGATATCTCCAACATTGTTCTTCTTTTCTCAAGATTGCATTGGCTATTCAGGGTCTTTTGTGGTTCCATATAAATTTTTGGATTATTTGTTCTAGGTAGTGAAAAATGCCATTGGTATTTTATAGTGATTGCACTGAATCTGTAGATTGCTTTGGGTAGTATAGACATCTTAATGATGTTAATTCTTCTTATCCATGAGAAGTGTATATGTGTATACTTCCATTTATCTGTATCTTTTTCAGTTTCTTTCCTCACTGTCTTACAGTTTTCCAACTACAAGTTTTTTACCTCCTTGGTTAAATTTATTTCTAGATATTTTATTATTTTTGATGAATAAATTATAAATGACATTGTTTTAATTTTTGTTTCTGCTATTTTGTTATTGGTGTATAAAAATGCAACTGATTTCTGAATATTAATTTTATATCCTACTTTACTGAGTTCATTTATTCTAATAGTTTTGGTGGAAGCTTTAAGGTTCTCTCTATACAGTATTATGTCATCTGCAAATAATGAAAGTTCTAATTATTTCCTTCCAATTCAAGCAACTTGAGAAAAAAATTACACCATGATCAATTAGGATGTAAGGATAGTTCAGTTTTCATAAATCAATCAGTGTGATATACCACATTAACAAAATGAGGGATAAATATCATATGATCATCTCAATAGATGCAGAAAAAACATTTGGCAGTATTCAACATCTGTTTATTTTAAAAGCTCTCAGTGATGTGGGTATAGGGGGAATGTATCTCAGCATGATAAAAGCCATATGACAAGCTAACATCATGCTCAGTGGTAAAAGCCTGAAAGCTTCTTTTGTAAGATCAGGAATAAGACAAGGATGCCCACTCTTGTCACTCTTATTCAACCCAGTATTAAAAGTCTCCACCAGAGCAGTTAGCCAAAAAGCAAACAGAAGGCATTCAAAATGGAAAATAAGCAGAACTGTTCACTAGTTGCAGATCACATTATATATAAAAAATTCTATACTCCACCAAAAAACTATAATAAGTGAATTCAGTGAAGCTACAAGATACATAATTGATATTCAAAAATATGTTGTGTTTCTGTACACCAACAGTGAACTATAAGAAAGAGAAATTAAGAAAACAGTCTCATTCACAGTGTCATCAAAAAGAATAAAATACCTTAGAAATAAATTTGACCAAAGAGGTGAAAGAAAGATCTGCACACTGAAAACTATAAGATATTAATGAAAGAAATTAAAGCAGACACACATACATGGAAAGATATTCTGTGTCGATGGGTTGGAAGAATTAACATTGCTAAAATGTTCCGACTCTCTAAAGAGGTCTGCAGATTCAGTGAAATTTCTACCAAAGTTCCAGTGCAGTTTTTTTTTACAAAAATAAAATAAGTCCTAAAATTTGTATAAAAACACATCAGACCCTGACTAGACAAAAACAAAGGTGGGGGTATAATTGGTCCTGATTTCAAACTGTATTACAAAGCTATCACAATCAAAATAGTGTGGGAATGGCATAAAAACAGACACACAGATCAATGGGACAGAGTAGAGATGCCAGATATAAACCTATATATAAACCTATATATAGTATAGAAATAAACCTATGTAGACAAAGGAGTTAAAACTGTTTAGTGAGAAAATGAAAGTGTCTTAAATAAATGGTGTTGGGAAAAGTGGACAGTCACATGCAAAGTAATGAAACGGGACACATTTTCTTACACCAAACACAAAAATTAACTATAAATGATTAAAGACTTGAATGTAAGACCTGAAACCATAAAACTCCTAAAAGAGAACAATACCTTGACATTGGATTGGTGATGCGTTTTGCATCTGACACCATAAGCAAAAGTAAATAAGCGGAAGTACATCAAACTAAAACGTTTCTGCACAGCAAAGGAAACCATCAACAGAATGAAAGGGCAGCCTATAGAGTGAGATAAAAATATTTGCTAATTGTATGTGATAAGAGGTTAATATCCATAAAATATAAAGAATGAGTATAATTCAGTAGCAAAAAACAGAATCTGATGACCAAATGGGCAGGGGATCTGCATACACAGTGTTCCAAAGAAGACGTACAGACTGCCAGCAGGCACATGAACAGATTCTCAGCATCACTAATTGTCAGGGAAATGCAAATCAGAACCTCAGCATGGAATATCACCTCACACCTTTCATAATGGCTGTTTTCAAACACTTGAGGAGTAATGTCGCATTTTGCTGTGTATAATGTCCTCCTATGTATAATATGCACCCATGGTTTGGTGTGCACTATACACCAGATTATTATAGCCATGGTATGTAATCATTATGCCCATGTATAACATGCATCTTTATCCCTCAAAAATGTGGGTAAAAAGTGTGCATTATACATGACAAATACAGTAAGTGATGGCAGGCCTGTGGAGAAATGGGCATCCTGATGCACTGTTGACAGAATGTAACTTGCAGCTCATATGGAAAACAATATGGAAGAAAATTTTTTAAGTATTAAAAATAGAACTAGCATTTGATCCAGCAATTCCACTTCTGGGTAACACAAAAAGATTTTTGTACCACCTTATTCTTTGCAGCATTATATACAATAGCCAAGACATGGAAACAACCTAATTGCCACTCGATAGGTGAATTGATGGATAAAAGTGGTATACACATGCACACCCACAAAAGAGAATATTTAGCTATAACAGATAAGGAAACTCAGCCACTTGTGACAACATGGGTGGACATTGAGGGCGTTAAGTAAGTCAAAGACATACACATATGATCTCACTTATGTGTGGCATTAAAACAAGCACACACACACACAAAATGAATTCATACATTCAGAGACCAGATTGATGGTTGCCAGAAGCTGGGGGCCAGTGGGGTGGGTAAAATGGGTGAAAGTGGTCGAAAAGGACAAACTTCTTTGGGAATAAAATAAATGTCATGGGAGTAATGTGCAGCATGGTGACACAGTTGGTAACGCTGTAGTGTGTATTTGAACGTTACTGAGAGAGTAGGTTCTAAAATTCTCATCCTAAACAATTTTGTACCTGTGTGGTGACAGGTGTTAACTAGACATGTTGTGGTGATCGTCTCCCTGCATGCCAGTCATTTTCGATCAGTGCGCCACAAGAATGTTCAAAGCATGCAACACCTGACATTTTAGTCGGTGGGACTGACCTCTTTTCTCTTGGGTTGTCAGATAAAAAAATGACAACAGCCAGCACTTGTTGGGTGTGAATGAATCAAAATTATGCCCATTTTTGGTCATCTTGGCAAAAATACATTTTTTGGTGTGCTGCAGAATTTCAGTAACTGGTTCGTGTGTGCCATGAGAGGAAATGGTTGAAATCACTGCTGTGTGCTCATGGGATTGGCAACAGGAGTTTTACAGTTGCGAGTATGTGAAACGAAGAGTTGTTAGGTTATTTTCACACACACAACTATAAACCTACTTTTGCCCAATAGTACATGGAATCATTTTGTCACACCTGAAATTAATAATGTTATATATCAGATTATATCTCAACATTTAAAGAGTAGTGCTGCTTACTGGGTGGTTGTGAGGATTAAGTTAAATGCCAGTACGATGTTACTACTTGCTACTGCCTCTTACTTCTGTAGTTCTGTTTGAAGCATCCACCTTTTGCCTTGTGGAGATCCGTATGAGACCTCTGATTTTTCCAGTGTCTCACAGACTCGTGTTCTCTCGGTTTTCTCATCTTTACTTCCACGTACTCTGCACTGGCATAGCCATCTATACCATCACAAACCTGTCCCTTCTCTCACCATGTGTTTCCATGCAAGTACGCCGTTTTTAGCTTTTCCATTTGCCTACTTTCTTTTCTCACATGAGTTATAAGCATCTTCGAATGTCTTACGTATTGTAGACTCTTAAATATTTGCAGACTTGATAGAATTTCATGAAAATGCAAACCACTAATGAGAACCAATTTTTGATTGGAGAGAAAAGATTTTAGTATCTCTACAGTGAATCAGTGCAAAGTAAACTGAGCAAGGCAACAGTGTAGGCAGCAAAAAACCAACCCAGAACAAAGTTCGTTTGCCAATGAGAGTGTTACAGTTGGAATTTGCAGGAAGCAATGAAAGAAAAGGAGGAAAATAGGATGCGTCTTAGTGGTCACAGCTCTGTCTGGCTTCAGACTATGCTAGACTTAGTTTGTTGACATTTTTAGCATGACTTTAGGGAGTATTCACTATTGCTGTTTATAATTATTTTTAAATAAAATATTGCTTACCAGATATTTGGAATATAATAACTAAAGAAAATAGTATTTTATGTCTATAGTACCAGGTTGGGGAATGGATGAGAGAGTTGGGAATTTGAAAATTCTGTTCTTAAAGTATAAAAGCAACACACTTGTGTAGCAAGCTAGGAAAGAAATCACTAAGAGTGTTTAGATTCCAGGTCAAGTTTCAAAGAGTTTTAGTAAGTTAACTAAGAGATATGCAATTAGATTTTAAGAAAAAAAAATGCCCTATGCTTAGATGTCAGCTGTTTCCATTGGTGGCATACAC